AGGCATGGCTGACAAATCTGGAGGTGAAGCTGCAGTTTCCGGCGACCATTCATTGACCACCAAAGGAATGTCTGAGATATGCCAGTAGCGGCACTTGATTACTCAATTCCTCAGTTGCTCGTTCTCTATCCGGAACAACACAATATTCTTTTCAATAAATTGCACATCAATCTTCATCTTTGAACCAGGGACAGTCCAAATCCTATTAACCGTAGCGTGAATTGATCCCACATGAGGTGCATCTCCAATGAAATACCCCACCAAAAATCTTCTCCAAAGAGGGTCAGATTCATCAAACACTTCCATTGGCAACTCCAGCGACGCGATTCCATGTTCCACTTCAAACACAGGTGTTGAAGTACCCTCAGACCAAGGGTTTTTCGACTGAGAAGGGGATCCCATAGTAACCAGATGTGAAAAGAGGAGAGAAAAGAGGGAAGCTTTCGTGGGCGTGAGGCACCTCCAACCGTCACGATTTTGGGTTGAGGAACCCTAGTCGCTGAATCGCCAATCGCCTCTCTTCAAGTTTTAGTTGATTGAAACTGGCCGGACCAAAATATAATTAAAAACATGAAATTTCAAATTTAGAATTTTGAGTATTGAAACTTCAAATATGAAGTTTCACTTCTTTAAACTTCAAATTTGAAGTTTTGAAATTCTCTTTTGGAGAGCAAAAAACTCTATTTGAAGTTTTAGAGTTTCACTATTCTAAACTTCAAATTTGAATTTTCATATTTTTATTTGTATATTGCTTCTTACAATTACAAATACAATTTATAATTCATAAATATTTTTTCGTTCAGCATTTTAATACTACAATTGTTTTTATCTCATAAATATTTCAAATTAGTTTTTATTTTTTTTATAAATCTAATTTATACAGATTAAGTTAAATAAAGTTTTAAATAAAATTTATAATATTTTAAAACTAAAATTAGACAACAAGAATATTACAAAATAAACTTATTATTTGCTTGTTGTTTAATATTCTAGTAATAGAATTAGACAACCAAAATATGATATTTTCCTTAATATTTAATTATTTTTTGTATTTATAATTTTATATTTTAGTGTAAGCTTTTATTAATTAATATTGATGCATAATTTTTATATATGTGTGTTATTTATAAAAAAAATTCATGAATTTATATTAATTATGACAAAAATATGGACTATAGTATAAAATATAAATAATTATGAAGTTAAGAAACTATGATAACTTTGAAATTCCAAATATAGAATTATAGAAATTTCAAAATATAGAGTATTTTTGGAGATGCTAACATGAGATTTTGACAAATCAACTTCATATAAATAACCGACATGAGTTTCTGTAATCTACTTCCATGAGAGTATTTCAAAGCCAAAGGGTTAAGAAATGATATGAATAGACCACAAGCAGTCGCAAAAGCGTTCTGTAAGGGAAAAAAACACACGCTGTCTTGACAGAACCGGGTTCTAGATACGGAGCCACAAAGATCAAAGACACTTGCTGTTTGAAAGACCCAAGATTATAATCTGGATCTTATAGTAGGCCCCATAGTGAGCTGTAAATAGCATTGCTAGGATATGGATGAATGATGAGAAGAGGTGGGCCACGTCGAGAGGAATGTGTTAAGCTTTTTTGTCTAAAGGCGTGGGGAGACAGCTCTGTCTCTTTGCTCTTTTTCTCTTTAATTTTCCTTTTTTTTCTTCAGATTCCAATTGAATATTGCACCTTGCCGATGTATGCTTGCCTTGCCTCGTTTTATTTCTCCGTATTTAAAGATATATATATATATTTTTTTTTTAAACTACTGAACTTTGTATGATATAATCATATAAAGTTTAACAGACAACTGTTTTATAGAAATCAATTTTGGACTATTAATGGAAGATTCGACCGACTTCTTTTTTGTTTGTTTGAAAGAAACTCAAGTGTTACAGTATGTTAAGCTCCGTGGTTTGTGCGAGCATTATGTATATAAATTATTTTTATGTATTATTATTTATTTTCTATTTTTACATATTATGAAATAACAAAAATAATGAACATATATTAACATGATTCTGACATGTGTCAATAAAAATTTAAGATGGTGACATGTGTCAAAAATATAATAATTTTTTATTAGAATTTAAAATAGATTTAGAAAAGTAAAATTATTATTGAAAAAATTATTTTACAGTTTTTTTTTAAAAAAGAAAAATTACTATTACATAATCTTTTACAAAAATAATAGCACCTTTTAAAAATAAAAACTTTGCATTAAAAAATAAATTTTGAAAATAGCAACTTTTTAAAATAGTTCATATTAAATGAAAATAATTATTTGATAGAAATTCTATTTTTCTAAATCGTAAACCTTGCTTCTTCAAATTTACTACTTAATATGATTCCAACATGTATTAATAAAAATTAAGATTTTGACATGTGTCAAAAATATAATATTTTTATTAGAATTTTAAATAGATTTAGAAAAGGCAAATTGGTATTAAAAATTATTCTTTATAGTTTCTTTTCAAGATTTAAAAAAGGAAAATTACTATTACATAATCTCTTACAAAAAGAATAGCAGCTTTTAAAAGTAGAAGCTTTGCATTGCAAAAACAAATTTTGAAAATAGCAACTTTTTAAAATAGTTAATATTAACTGAAAATAATTATTTGATAGTAATTCTATTTTTCCAAATCCTAGAAAAACATATAAATGCAAAAGATTATGTAATATTAGTTTTTCTTTTCTAAAATCCTATTAAAAATCTTAAATAATATTTGATGATAATTTTTCTTTTCCTAAAAATCCCAAACAAAAGAGATATTATCATATTTTTAGGCTGTAGCTAAAAGAGAAATATAAAAAGTTATTTGATAATATTTTTTACTATATAGTATGTTTTATCATTCATTTTTAATTAAAATTTAATAATAAGTCTATATCATAAATAAATAATGAATTAATAAAATTATTTAAAATAAGATAAACAATTTTATTATTATTAGAAAAAGCAAACCAAGTAATTTAAAATAATAATAAAGCACACATAAGAAAAACTACAAATGTAAAACGAAATACCAATTTAGATATTTTTTTGAAGCAAAAATATTATAGCATTTAGGCTTAAATTTATTGATTATTGTTTAAGGTCTAGTATTTTGGAGGTAAAATTGGGTTTATAAAGTTATATACAGTTTTCAAATGATATACTATAAAAAAAATTATTATTTTTATGCATTATATAAAATTAAAACATCAAACAAAATTTGTGCAACACACGGATCCATACTTAGTTATTTATATAATTAAGCTGGTGTGAATACATAAATACAAAAAAAATTACTCTTATTTATTTAGATTAATAACAACCATTTATGCTACTCAACTAATAATCAGAAAGATCATTGTCTTCAACATAGTTACAACATCAAATTTCTGAACACAATCTCTTCACTAAGGCTACAAAATAAATTGCAATTTCTTTTATAATAATATATATGAATCAGGCGCGTAGCGCGAGCACACCACTAGTTATGTTATAAAGTCATGTTATATCAAATAAGGAAATTTGTTTAAAATTATAGAATTTATTAATTATTTTATTTGAGATTTTATATGTACATTCTTATGCAACTCTCTTTTAAGCATATGCATTTTACCTGGACCAAAATATTAAAATGCAACCGACATGAAAATACATGTTTAGGTATTGGATCGAGCAAATTACCTAGTGTATTTTGTTTCTGGATCCGCGGATCTCTGTTCGAGTTCGGGTACCCAAAGTATCCAAAATGTTTGTGTATATATTATTTATATTTGGGTATTTCAGATATATTTTCAGTATTACAAATTTTGAGAAAAGTTTTTGATTCGGGGTTTTGATTATGGTTTGGGTTAAAATTTTAAAAGTTTAAATTATATTTTGGATATACTGATAACACTTTGGATATCTTTGGTTCCTTGGGAAAAAGTTTGGTTATTTTTGAGTATTCAAATATTTCGAGATATTCGTTGGATTTTTGTGTATTTTTTTTGGAGATTTAGCTTTTTCGGGTGTACAAATACTTTGAGTTTTTTTAGTCCTAAATACTTGAACTAACCAAGATCTATTACGTATCTAATTACATGTATTTATAAGTATTCAAATTAATTATGGAATCAGATGACTTGGTTCCGAAAGTAACCAACTCAAACCCAAACTGAAAACTTTTCAAATATATGTCTAGGTTCTGAAGAACTCGGACCAAAAAAAAAAAACAATTTTTATCCGATTTGAAGATTCAAATGCGCAAAATTACTCTCTCATTATATTTGTGTATATTTTATAACAATTATATTTGTTAAGTTGGTGAGACTTAATATTTATTTGGTAATTTTTGACTAATTTAATAGAAAAACATTTGTCAGATTTTATCATTTTGTTTAACAAGAAATGTTCTTAGGGTTTTTAATAATTATACACTTATTTTAAATAATGTTTTATTATAAATAACTTTTATAAAAAAAATAGTTTAAAATAATAATATATAATTTTTTTAACAGATAGTTTATGAAAGAGTTTTTATCAAATTTTATTTTGCAAGTATTTAGAATGATATAATGTAACTGATATGGTACAAATGATGTATATGGTAACTTATTTCATAGTTAATGTGTAAATATTGTAGGTTCATATTAACCCCAGAATATGATGTATAACAATCATTATGTTAGGTGATAAAGTATTTTAGAAAAGAAATGTATCATATAAAATAAATAGTAGTGGTATATTTATTTAAAATATTTAAAATTTTATAAGGTTAGAGTCATTAATGGTACAAAGAATAAATAGTTATAAGCGGATCATCAACTTTTTATGTAGATTTTTCGAATTAGGTAATTAGTTAATTTACAGAGTGGATCCGACCAAACAAAAAGTGTACATGCACAGTGACCGTACAAATAAAATGTCTTTGATATTTGTGAAAAGTTAAGATAAATAATTGAATGAGTGTGTCCCCTATTCTTCCTTTTTCTGGTTTTATTTTCCTGACTTTACCTTGAATCCTCTTCCCTCCTGGTGACTGGTGTTCTTTCTTTTTTCTTTCTCTCTCTTCTCTCAACAACCGTTCTGCTTCTGCTTCTGTTCCCAAAGTCGCCAACTTTGTTTAGATTTTCTTATACCAGGTATCGCAGTAGTAATGGAAGACACAACGTTTACAAAGGTGTTCGTTGGAGGGTTAGCATGGGAAACCCACAAAACCTCTCTCAGGAACTACTTCGAACAGTTTGGGGACATTACTGAAGCTGTCGTGATCACTGATAAGTCTAGTGGCAGATCCAAAGGCTATGGCTTTGTAAGTGTTTCTTGCCTTCTTGTTTACTCGGAGATTTTAGCTCTAAGCTCACGGAATCTGTTTTTTTTTTTTAGGTGACTTTTTGTGATCCAGAGGCAGCTCACAAGGCATGCGTAGATCCAGCTCCTGTCATCGACGGAAGGAGAGCAAATTGCAATCTTGCGGCTTTTGGTGTTCAGAGATCCAAACCTTCTTCTCCAGTTCACGGTATCTATTTATGCTTTGGTACTTGATCTAATTGATCTTTGGCAAGCCCTAACCAAAATACTATTGAGTATTATCATTACTAAAGAGAAAAGCTGAATTTGTATGCCATGAATCAAATCTATAGAGATACTTTCTGTGTTATGTTGGACAAAGATAAATGTCTTGCTTCATTGTCTGAAGAGTAAGCTTCATCTTGATCCCTAAGCCAACTGGTAGAAAAGCCATTTTCTGCCCATTACTAGTAACAGTCTCCTTACGTCCTTATGATTACATCAGTTATTAAAACCTAAGCGTATGTTTATACCCTAAAAACATATTGCTTTGCATAAATATTGTCATGTTTTCGTTTTTGCATAAAGCAAATGTTTGAGAAGGTCATTCTATGGTGTTGTGTGTTTGGCAGGACACACAGGAGGCAGAGGCGTGAAGGTCACAAGCCCTTTCAAGACCCACTTTGGGGCTGCAGCTGCTCTTCCTTCTCCACTTCCATTCTCTCACTATACACTTCCTTACACTAATCCTTTTGGGTACTCCAAGTTTAATTTCTTACTTCTTCGCCAAACTCATTCATCACTCTAAACAGACTGATAATCCTTTGTTTTGTCTCATTAAACCTTCTTAGGTTCTCTTCGTACTCAATGGATTACCATTACCCCATGGTATGTATACTCCATCTAATTCTATAATGAAGTATTCAGTCTCTTTCTACTCAACTTTTTTTAAAAAACAAATCTCATGTAGCTTATTGGATTTCTTTTTTTATAACAGAGCTATTACAATGTTTATGGAGGGGCAACTTCTCAGCAGCCGATGTATAGCGCAGGACCAATGACTGGTGTCGCAGCAGCAGCAGCTGCGTACTATCCATATCTCCAGTTTGCTGAAGGAAATGGACCCGTCACTGGTTATGCTCCTCTCCACTACCCCAACCAAATGTTTCACTATTCCTCTGGGGGAAACTACCCACATCACAATGGTTCACCAGTGTCTCTTGCACCTTCACCTGTCATCCCATCAGGTTTGTGTATCTTTGATCTGTTTTCCTTTCGTTTATAAAAATCTTGGAAACTAGAGTGCTGATAGTCTCAGCAGTGTGCTTTGCAGTTCCACAGGCTTGACCATGAAGGGATGATTTGCTCTGTAGAGGCCTTATTCGTTTAAATCCTTAAGGCAAGCTGCTTCGTTTACTAGTTTCATCTGCATGCCTCAAAGTTCCACAAGACCTGTGGCCTAACCATGGTTGCCCTTTTCCCTTTGTGCTTCTAACCCTTTAGACAAGAGCCCATAAATTTGGAGTTTGGGCATCTTTGCAAGTTCAAGTTAAGTCTCACATAGGGGTTTAACTTGGACCATAGTCATACACATTATTCATCTTTTCGCATTGCATCACGTGCTTCTGAACGAAAGGTTTCGTTCAAGATAGCTTGTACAAAAGGTATCAACTTAAGTAAGAGTTACCATGTCTTGCATAGTGCCCCAGAAAGGCAAAGCATTTTTGTAGACAAACTTAAAAAAAAAAAAAACTTTAGGATTGGCTGATCAACAAGAAAGGAAATAAGGATTTCCCGGGAAGTGAATTGCCACCACCTGGAAGTGTTTGAAGTAGTGTGTTCAAAGGTGGGCACACTACTTCACGCAGAATCCAATTTTAATGTGTAGTCTTAGGATGATTAGATCTAGGACTATGTAGCTAGGACAAGGACAAAAGTCACATAAACTTCCTTTGAGGAGAAAGGAAGTAATGTTGCTTGTCAACTCCTGTATATTCTCGGTGGCTAAGCTTTGGAGTTATAGACACACTTGAAACTAACTTTAGAGTAAGATCATTTTTTAAGAATTTAGATTGCTCATCATAGTTTCAACCAACCTCCACTAATGGAAATGTGGGGTCATTGCATTTGCATTTTTTTTTTCTTTTGCCTCTTGGGGAGATATTTTGGTTCCCTTTAGGTTCTTCTCTTAACATCAACTAAATCAGTTGACAAAACAACCATGGTTAGGATTCAGGTGAGAGGTACTTATCGCCTCCTTATCTCTCTTTTACTCTTTCCTCTGTTTCTTCAAGACTAAAAAAAACTCTACAGACTCTTTTATGTATTTTTGTTGTTTATCTTGTAAGCGTGTGATTCTGATTCTGTGTAAGAAAACAAAACCTTCATTTTTCATCCACGGTGGGTGGAAAATGAAATTGTGTGATTGCAATATATCCCTTTGATATGATATAATCCTCTCTTTATGACTTGTGGAAATGACCCTTCATCATATGTATCCCTTAATATCCATCAACTTGATGTGAGAGGCATCACCATTCCTGTATGTTGTAACCAAATTAGATCTGTGAAGTTGTCTGACTTGCAAATGAGGAATCAGAAACAGCAAGGAATAGAGAACACAGCTCAGATATAAGACATACTGAATACTATTGACTGAACAAAGATGGTCTCAATCACCCAGAACAAACTGGTTTCTCTGTGCCAACGCAATAACTTCTTCCACAGGATCATCAAATCATATAAAAACAATCATCATATTCAAACAAAGGTAGAAGCTTGAGCCTCATACCTAAATATAAAATCAACAATGCAGTCTGTAAAACAGAATTGCAGAAGAAGAAAAAAGGAATATGAAAGAGGAGATCAATACGTCATATCATACGAAAGTGAAAGTAGAACTTGAAATTTGGAATAGAGAAGAGGCTTGTTAGCTTAATCAAGAACGTGTACACTCAATGCCTTGACAAATAGCCAACCAAACACCAAGTAGGGCTAAGCAAATAGCTGCATCAATGGCAAGATTAATCTGCACTTGAGAAGCACTAGATCGTTCCCTTCTTGGAACATACGTTGCTGCTGCTCAGCTGCAGATGATGCATTCAGTAACGTTTCCCCTATCAGTAGATTTAAGTTGTTCCTCTAACTCAATGATCTTTCCCTCTCTTCTTCTCTTGCTTGTTGGAAGCGGTGCTTTCGTGGAACTAGCTGAGTCGCATTGTTCAGCACCATCAATGGAAGGTGAAGACAATGGAAGACAAGTGAGCTGATTAGTCTCAGCAAATACGCTCTGATGAAAGCTATGAGTCTTCGAACAAGCTGGTCTTGAACATTGTTAAAANTGTTGGATAAGCTTCAAGATAAAGCTTAGACAACAAGTTATTCATAAAGGAAAGATTGAATAACTAAATACTATTAGATTTAGGATTAAGATAAAGTTAAGTTAAGATTCCTAGATCTCTATGTAATAGGAAAAGATAAGGATCCTATTAGCTATATAAAGAGAGCTTAATGTAAGGTGCTTTCATAAGAAAGAAACAAGAAAGATAATAAAACGAAGCAACAGTTTTATACCTGTGTTCTTGAGTTTGTTTTCGATTACTTTATTTGGTATCAGAGCTTCCAGGTTATCTATAAGGTAGACACAAACCATGGGAGATTCAGATGCTAAACCAACGATGAAGCTAAGTTCGGTACCAGCCTCTGTAAAGACGCCTATGCTCACAACAACTAATTATGCAGTATGGTCATTACGAATGAAGGTCTTACTAAGGTTCCATGAAGTATGGGAAACCATTGATCCAGGATCAAAAGATCAAAAAAAGAATGATCTAGCTACAGTTCTCTTGTTTCAAGGTATTCCAGAGAACATAATTCTACAAGTTGGTGATCAAGATTCACCTAAAGGCATGTGGGAGGCAATAAAAGCAATGAACGTTGGAGCTGACCGAGTGATTGAAGCTCGTTTACACACTTTGATGATTGAATTCGATCATCTAAGGATGAAAGATAATGATACAATAGACTCGTTCTCAGGAAAATTATCAGAGTTTGCAGGAACGGCTGCATCACTAGGCCATACAATGGAAGAATCTAAGTTAGTAAAGAAGTTCTTGTCATGTCTACCGAGTAAATTTCTTCAACTATCCGCAACACTAGAACAAGTTCTTGACCTAAACAACACAAGATATGAAGATGTAGTAGGTCGACTCAAAGCCTTTGAGGAGCGCTTGCGTGGTGAAGAAAGATTGCGTGGAGAAAAGCTTGAAGAACACGGTAAACTTCTCTACTCTGATAATGGAACCAGAGGAAGGGGACGAGGTTCTAACAGGGGACGTGGGAGAGAAGGCAGAGGAAGGGGACGAGGAAGAGGCAGCACTGGTGATAAAAGCAAAGAGAAAAGAGATTACACTCAGATTGAGTGTTTCAATTGTCACAAGAAAGGACACTTTGCCTCAGTATGTCCTGAAAAGAAAGATGATCAAGAACTCAACAAAGCAGAAACAGAAACTGCAGATACAGCCTTATATCTTCACGAAACTGTATTTCTTAATGAAGAAAAGGTATTACCGAAGGTACTTGAGTCAAGCAAAGCAGAAGATGGCCTTTGGTATCTAGACAATGGAGCGTCTAACCACATGACAGGTCAAAGAGTTTACTTCACAGAGTTGAATGAAAATATTAAAGGGAGAGTTAAGTTTGGTGATGGATCATGTGTTAGCATCAATGGCAAAGGTTCGATATTGTTTGAAGCTAAGAATGGAGAACAGAAGCTATTGACAGACATTTACTAGATACCTGAGCTGAAAAGCAATATACTGAGCTTAGGACAAGCCACATAACAAGGTTGTGATGTGAGAATGAGGGACAACTATCTCACTCTAAGAGATCCTAATGGTCGTCTACTAGTGAAAGTGTTAAGGTCAGCTAATAGACTTTACAAGATCTCATTGAAAGTTGGGAAACCAACTTGCTTGCTCACACGGTTAAAAGAAGAACCATGGAAATGGCACGCAAGGCTTGGTCATATAAGTTTTAAGACGATCAAGACAATGGCAACAAAAGAGATGGTTTATGGATTACCTGAGATCACAGAAGAAAAGAAGATTTGTGACTCATGTCTGGTAGGTAAGCAAACCCGACACTCCTTCCCTTCATCCACAACTTATAGATCAGCAACAGCTCTGGAATTGTTGCACGCTGATCTATGTGGACCAATTAGTCCAGCAACTTTGTCTCAGAACAGATATATATTTGTCATTATTGATGACTGTACGAGATACATGTGGTCTATCTTACTCAAAGACAAGAGTGAAGCATTTGAGAAGTTCAAAGTGTTTAAGTCCCTTGTTGAAAAAGAAGTTAGCAAGAACATCATAACACTTCGAACAGACAGAGGAGGGGAGTTCACTTCGAATGAATTTCAAGAGTTCTGCAATAACAATGGGATCAAGAGACATCTAACAGCTCCGTATACTCCACAACAGAACGGAGTTGTCGAAAGAAGAAACCGGACTCTAATGGAGATGACACGGAGTATGTTAAAAGCCATGAAAGTACCTAACTACATGTGGGGAGAAGCAGTGCGTCATGCAACATACTTAATCAATCGAGTCCCTACTCGAGCACTGAAAGATCAAACTCCTTATGAAAGACTAAGAGGGAGAAAGCCGAGTATTGGACACATACGAGTTTTTGGTTGCATTGCACACGCTAAGATTGACTCTGCACTAACTAAGAAACTAGATGACAGGTCCGTAGCATTAATACATCTAGGCATTGAACCGGGTTCAAAAGCCTATCGACTCTACAATCCAAGCAATAAGAGGATTATTATAAGTCGTGATGTTGTATTTAATGAAGAAGCATGCTGGAACTGGAAGGGAGAGCATGAACAAGAAGAGACTGAATCTGGTAACTTTAGTATGACGTGGGGTTCAAGTCTTGATGATGGTAATGGTCCTTATACCACTGATACGCATCAGGATGTTGATATCAATGAAGAAGAAGAGGAACAACATCAAGATAGTATTGCAGAAACAGAGGAAACAGAGTCAAATTCTGAGATAGGTCCGAGAAGATCAACTCGACAAGTAAATACACCGAGATACTTAGAAGATTATGTGATGCTTGCAGAGATTGAAGGTGCTATGTTACTTTTGTCTATAGATGATGAACCGTCAACATATCAAGAAGCAAAGAGGTATGTTCGTTGGACTAAAGCATGTAAAGAAGAAATAGATTCTATCAACAAAAATAAGACATGGACACTTGTTGATAAGCCGTGTGGAGCTAAGATCATTGGTCTTAAATGGATATTCAAAGTAAAGAAGAATGCAGATGGGTCATCAACAAATTTAAGGCAAGACTTGTTGCAAAGGGTTACGTACAAGAGCTTGGCATTGATTTTGAAGAAGCTTTCGCACCAGTAGCTCGGATAGAGACTATAAGACTACTTATTAGTCTAGCTTCGGCCTATGGTTGGGAAATTCACCATCTAGATGTGAAAAAAGCATTCCTATATGGAGAACTAAGTGAAGAAGTATATGTTTCTCAACCTGAAGGGTTTGAAAAGAAGGGAGAAGAGCATAAAGTTTTCAAACTATCTAAAGCTCTGTATGGATTGAGACAAGCACCTCGTGCTTGGAACACAAAGCTGGATCAAATCCTAAAAGGCCTCGGATTCACTAGATGTGAAAAGGAATGTTCAGTCTACCGTAAGCAAGAAAGGAGACTTCTACTCGTTGTTGCAAGTTATGTAGATGATCTGTTTGTAACAGGTAACTCTACATCTGCTGTTAAAGAGTTCAAAAGCGCAATGTCCAGACAGTTTGAGATGTCTGACCTCGGAGTATTGACATACTATCTCGGCATAGAAGTTAAGCAATGCTCGAATGGTATAACTATCAATCAAGAAGCTTATGCAAGACGTGTCCTAGAAGAAGCAGGCATGGAGAATTGTAATCTAACTCACATTCCTATGGAGTTTGGGTTACAAATGTCAAAAGCTTTAGACGAAGCTGAGATCAACGCCACTCAGTACCGGAGAAGAATAGGATGCTTAAGATATCTGATGCACACAAGACCAGATATGGCATTCTCAGTTGGGATTCTAAGTAGGTACATGCACTCACCACGGGAATCACATGGGAACGCACTTAAGCATGTCTTAAGATATCTAAAAGGAACTATGAGCTATGGATTAAAGTACAAGAAAGAGAAGTTACAGAAGCTTGTTGGATACAGTGACAGTAGTCACAACACAGACCCGGATGATGGAAAGAGCACAACAAGGTACATATTTTGTGTTGGTGAAACACCTATCAGTTGGTGCTCTCAGAAACAAGAAGTGGTGGCTTTGTCATCATGTGAAGCAGAATATATGGCGGCAACAGAAGCTACAAAACAAGCTATATGGTTACAAGAACTTATGAGTGAGATAACCGGAAGTAAGGAAGAGAAGACGCTGATAAAGGTGGAC